ATATTCACCAATATGGCTATATAGAACTTTTTTTAAAGGTTTAATTGTTTTATTTTATTTTATTTATTTTATTTATTTTTATTTTATGTGTATGAGTGTATTGCCTGCATGTATGTAAGTGCACCTAGCAGAAGTCAGAAGAGGACGTTGGAATCTCTGGAACTGGAGTTACAGACAGTTGTTAGCCACCATGTGGGTTCTGGGAATCAAACGTAGGTCCTCTGTAAGAACAGCCAGTGCTCTTAGCTACTGAGCCATCTCTTCAGCCCCATCTAGAACTTTTTGATAGCTGTGCCTGTTTCTGTGCAAATAGGTATAACAAGTGAGGAGATGATTAGCAGACTCTTTCCTAACAAGGGAATAGAGCTCTTGTAAACTTATAACTTGTAGGAACCTGAATCTTCTAAAGAAAATTGATTCTGTGAAGCAAGGTTGTTAGGTTGTTCTTCTATGACGTTATAAAATGTTATATCTGGGCTGGAGAGATGACTCAGTGGTTAAGAGCAGTGGCTGCTTTTGCAAAAGACCTGTGTTCAAATTCCAGCACCCACATGGTGGCTAACAATCAACTGTAACTCCAATTCCCAGGGATCTGACACCCTCTTCTGACCTCTGAGGGCTTTGCACGACACAGGTGCACTTACGTACATGCAGGCAGTACACAGATACACATAAAATAAAAATAATAAAAAAGTAAGTAAAATGACATTTCTGTGGGTACTGAGTGAAGGCCTGAACTGGGGGGGGGGGGGACAACTACAGGAACTTCTCAACTTCTCTTACCAGTCAATGCCTGAAAAATCTCCACTAGGACCAAAGGGCTGTCTTTGCTGACTTTTAACTGTAGGAGTCTTAGATGGGGCCCTAGAGGTGCAGAAATACATCTGGCTAAGATCTGTGTTTCATTACTAAGAAACAGCTAAAACTGTCATTGTTTGGAGGGGAGCAGCATGTTATACATCAGTGATGTGTTTAAAGTTAAAACATGCAGATCTCCTAAGCACCCTTTATCAGTATCTTCAGCGCCCAGTCCTCAATAAAGTTACAGTTAAACACCACAATACTGGTTCCTTACAGGAGATATTAATTCAGTTGTAAGCACATTTCACTAACTTTTGCTATCTCTCTTTGGAAGTTAATTAAGGAACATTGGAAGCTAAATCCATTGTCTGCCTTTGTGTGACAACCCACAGGGTTTTTTGCTAAAGTGGCT